CCCCCCCCCCAAAAAATCTGTGTTCTTCTTACATGGGAAGTATATTCATTCTATCCCATCAGCCCCAAAAGTCTTAACTTGCTCCAGCATCAACTTTAAAATCTAAGTCCAGAGTCTCATCTGCATATCATGTAACTCAGATGTGGATGAGACTCAAGGTACATTTCATCCTGAGGGAAAGTTCTCTCCAGCTGTGAACCCATGAAACCAACAAATTAGGAAAGAAGAATGAGGTAGTGGGTCCCAAGTAAGTCCGAAACCGAACAAGGCAAACACTAAGCCTTCAGGCTTGAGAATAATCCTTTCCCTGATGCTCTGCCTCCGGCCCACTGGGATGGCCACGTTACCCCCATGGCTTGACTGGACGACCTCCCCTGCCTGTGGCTGTCCACAGGAGCCGCTGCAGCTCTCCTGGGCTGGGGTCCTACACCCTCAGTGCTCCTGGCCTGAGGTCACATCACACACTTGTGTCTGTCTTCTTCCAGTGTCCTCTCATGGTGGAAAGGTCAACATAATTCTCTGGAGCCTTTCTTATAAGGGCACTACTTTTATTCATGAGGGCTCCACCTTCATGACCTAATTAATTCCTAAAGGCCTCACCCCCTAATACCATTATATTGGGGATTAGGATAAGAGCTCTTAGACTCTCTTATTAAATAGCATAAAAACTTGTGGTTTCTTGTTTCAACAGCAGTTTTAACCCTGGATAAATCAAAGAATGAGGGCTTTTACTAAAGTATTTCTCTATATAGTATGATTTCATGTATGTATAATATTTAGTACTAATATCATTCACTTAAACATGTCCTCATAGATGGAAATGATTATTATAATAGTTTTAATTTTTTATTTAAAAAAATAATAACTTTTTTGCCTTTTGAAAGTCAATGCAGTGAGCACTCTACATTGCTGATGAAAGTGTATACTGATACTTCCCTTTTGGAAAACACTTTGACAGTATTATTGAAGAACCTTGAAAATCTTTCTACCATTTGACCAAGTATTTCACTTCTAGGAATCTATCTTAAGGATAAAATCTTAAATATGTAAAATTATTAATGTCAAAAATAGTCATTGCAGCGCTCTACAGATTTACTAATTTCCTTCTTTTTTTAGTGACCAAACCACACACACCCTTCTGCTCCAATAAATGACTTGCCCCAGAAGCTGAAAAAAACTTGAAACCAGGAAAATTGTTTTATCTACAAATAAGATTATCATGTAGTTTTAAGTTGTACTACTACTGGTAATAGTAAAAATGATAATGATGATGATAATAACTCCTACTGTTGATGCCTTTGTCATTGTGTGCCAAGTACTTTGTATATTATTATATCATTTCATTCTCACAATAACCCTATAAGCTAAGTATTATTTTCCCTGTAATATTGATAGAAAACCAAGGCTTAGAAAACTTTAGAAGTAATTGGAGGGGTTTTAATGCTACTAAGATGCTACCATGAAAAGAACAAAGAATTCCCAACCCTGTCCCTCCAGTTTTCATAATTTGTTGTGGGATTGTCAGGGAGACATAGTAAAAAAAAAAAGAGAGAGAGAGAGAGACAAAATGGTACCACTTTATTATTATCTACATGAGTGTCCAATACCCTAGCAAGTGCTCTGGTAAAAAATGGGTTCAAGCATGCAGGCCAGCCTAAATGCCTACAAGGCCTTTATCTTGGCCAGATCCCCATCCAGAACTTGGAATCTTATCACCCTTTGGTTGGCTGCATAGGGTAGCTCATATGTTGATGCAATGACTTGGCTTCTTCATCTCCTGCGAAGAGAGGTGCACAATGTGGGCCTCAAGGAGCTGTAATTCTTCTTACCCAGCACCAATATGGAAGCATCGTGAAGCAGAAAAAAGAACCATATCCATGTGTTGACTTTTCATGCATGTTAATTCAGCTCACTAGTAAATGTACAATTTGTATCTTGAAATTTGGACAGTCATATTAGCAACTTTCTCTGTAAAAAAGAGGGAGGGGGAGTGGGGATAGAGGTTATGTAACTTATCCAAGATTATATCGCTAATTAATTAATGGTAGAATTATTATTTAAGCCCAGGTCTATCTAACCACAAAGTCATGTTTCATCATCATAATAGTGCCTTCCCTGAAAACATATTTGAAGTATGTGTATGGTGGAAGTAAAAATTGGTTAACTTTGCTTCAGTACCCTTTCCTCAACTATAATGGTAGCTCACAAAAGGTATTTTTAAAATTAATAAAGTAACTGTAATTACCTTTAGGAAAGATATAAAAGTCCAGGCTTTCTAAAAATTATGTTGAGAATCTTATATCTAGTATGGTGTCTAGCATATGGGCACTTTATATATTTGCTGAAATAACATTATTTTATAGGGAAGATATAGAAGTTAGAGTACACTGGTTAATTTTTTTCTCAGACACTTTTTTGACTGGATAAAAGCAAATTTTAGTGCTACTAATTGTTAACACAACTTTCAGTTAATTTTGTGATGACCTAGGTATTGTCTTCGGAAACAATCAATTTCTGTGGCATGTATTGTCATGATGCTTTGCACCAGTGGCTGAAATATGATACCACTGAGAACTTTTGTCCTTCAAAACCCTAGAAACCTGGATGTTTATCTAGGATATGGTGCCAACTTTCTACTCTCTTTAATGAAAGAGTGCAAAAGTAAGATGAGAAGGCTAAACTGTCAGGGGACTATTAAAGTTTGGGAAATGGCACAGGGGACCCAGTTTTCTTTATTTCCCCCCTTCCATTCATTATAGAACAAAACCTGCAGTTCCTGTCAGTGCTAAAGTAGCCTCTCCTACTTCTTTTCTCTTCACCTGCTTGTGTCAATTTAACAGCAAAGTTCTCTGAATGTGATAAAACTTAGAATGGATATATATATATATATGTATTTTTTCCCCACTTAATTGAAATATATGTATATTTTCATTTAATTGAACAAACATTTATTATGCACCTGTTTTGCATTTCAGCATTGCCAGTGTATTAGTCAGTGTCAAGTAAGGAGATAGAAACCTCTCAGTAATTTTTTTCCATCCAAAATGTTTAATTTTTTAATTAAACTTTTTATTTTGAGATCATTGTAGTCATGTGCAATTACAAGAAATAATGCAGAGCCCAGCTGAGTGTGGCTCAGTGGTTGAGCGTGGGCCTAGGATCCGGGAGATTGCGGTTCGATTCCTGGTCAGGGCACATTTCTGGGTTGCAGGCTCGATCCCCAGTTGGGAGCGTGCAAGAGGCAGGCGGTCAGTGACACTCTCATTATTGATGTTTCTGTCTCTCTCTCTCCCTCTCCCTTCCTCTCTCTGAAATCAATAAAGATATATTTAAAAAAAAAGAAAGAAAAAGAAATAATGCAGAGTGCCTGTATTCCTTTTACTAGGTTTCCATGAACTTGGTATTTCTCTGCATTTATTTAGATCTTCTTTGATTTCATAGTTTTTAACATGTAAGTCCTATGCATGTCTTGTTAGATTTACATCTAAGTATTTAATTTTTGAGTAATTGGAAATGGTATTATATTTTAAATTTCAGTGTCCATGTATTCATTGCTAGTATGCAGAAGTACAGTTGATTTTTATATTTCTCTTGTATTCTGCAACCTTCCTGAACCCACTTATCAGCTCTCAGAGTATTTTTGTAGACTCCTCGGGATCTCCTATATAGATAATCATGTCATCTGCAAACAGGATAATTTCTTGACACCAGAGATATGGGTCTCCTTGTTGTTGCTGATTGTGGGTGAAAGTTCTGGCTCCCCACTCGGCCTCCACTGATAGATTTCCCCCTGGCTCTTTCTTCCAGTTCCCTATGTTGTTTCAAATGATATCATAGGGGCAAGTGCCTTGTTAACTGCTAGCAGGAATGAAAGTTCTGGCCTTCTCTGACATTACCCTGGTTGGGTGAAGGTGGGACTTCTGTTACAGCCCATGATGATGGATGTCTAGGCTGTACACTTGACCTTCGCTGAATGGCGGGGATTTGGCCACTTTTCTTTCTATATTATTTATCTTCAGTGAGCAATTATTTTCTAAAAGTTTTCTGTCTTGCTCAGTTGTGCCGTTCCTGGTGCTTTGGCTGAAGAGAGTAGACCTTTCTTGGGACTTTTTTGTCTGTTATAGTACCAGATGCTGGCTTCTTCAGCACACAGTCTGGGATGTTGGAGGAAAAAGGAAATGTAGGGAGCCACTCTACCAGTTGTTCCTTAGGAACTGATGCCCATAGGTGTCCTTCCTTTTTAATCTTTCCACTTTCGTGTCCTCTTAAATTAGTTTTGTATATGATGTGCAGGGTTTTTAATTGTACTTAGAAGAATAGGGAAAAGTATGTCTACTCCATATTCCCAGAAACGGAAGTTCTCTAGGGTGCATAAATTTTAGATTTTTGTGTGTGGGAAATCTATTTTCCAGTTTTATGTAGTCATTAACAATGTTTGTGTAAGATAAGTAACGAGTGAAACAGTAAGATTGCATTAGTCAACATGCAGGTTTCGTTTCATAGTCTAAGATCATTGGCCTTTTCATAAAATAGGGTTTCAGCTTCCATATTAGAAATGATGTTGGAGTTAGAGTCATGGAAGATTAAACTGAAAATCATATTAAAGATGTTTAGAATCCGTGTGTTTTATTCAGATGAGAACATTTTTTCTTCGACATTACAGAGATGATTCCTATTGAAGGAGTCTAGGAACCACCATTTTTTATACCATTGAATGGATGTGCTTTTTTTGGTAGAATATTTTTTCCCACTGACAAAAAAATGGTTTTAGACCATATTTTATCATGCAGAATTATTGTTAAACCAGATGCTTAGGATTATAAACACTTTTTATTGAGAAAGTAGGACCATAAAAGCCAATAATAGAATCATGTTTCTTACCAGTTTGTCTATGTCAGCAGGTCAAAACATGTTTTATACCTTTTTTACAGATTGAAACTGTCAAAGAAGAATTTAATGAACATTCAGAAGTTGTAGACAAGATTAACCAGATCTGCAAAAATCTACAATTTCATCTAAATAAAATGAGAACCTTTGAAGAGCCTCCTTTTGAGAAAGAGGCTAATGTTATTGTGGACAGATGGCTTGATGTAAGTGATAATCTAATTGACTAGAAATTCTGTTGTACAACAGTTAAGTCAATCTTTTCTGTTGTATCTTTAGTATTTTTTTTTTTTTTTACCTAATTACAAAATTCAAAAGTGCTCATGTTAAAAGTGTTCAAATGATATAAAATTTATAACTTAGGAGTTACCTTCACTCCCAGAGTTTTAGGCGGTACTAACAAATGGGTCTAAAATTTTGTAGATATAAATATAGAGCAAATAAACTAGTTAATATGTTCCTCATCCACGAAAGATATTGGTATTCGACTATATATTTATTTAATACATTTTTACTTGAGCACTAATGATGTTTTTTATGAATTACAAATTAAGAATTTGTGTTATATTTTCACCTTTTTAAAAAAATGTTTTTATTGATTTCTAGAGAGAGAGGAAGGGAGAGGGATGAAGAGAGAGAAAGAAACATCAATGAGAGAAACATCACTGGTCAGCTGCCTTCATCTGGGTTTTTAAAAGCACCTTTTATTTTTTGTGGCTTAGAAATTAGGGAGACTATTGCTTTCATTGCATATTACTGGCAGCACATCAGCTAAGATTCTTTTTGTAGAAAAAAAGAACTACATGAAACGATAAAGCCAACTTTTGTTGGTTAATAAAGCGCAATAGCCAGTAAAGGTAAACTAAAATTTTACTTAAAAGTAGTGTTTGAAATTTCAAAAAAAATTTTAAAAATAAAATAAATAAAAATAGTGTTTGAAACAGTGGTTTTCATACTTTTTACTACAAAATGTGTTATTTGTATGTGTTAATTCTGGTAGATAAATGAGAAGACAGAAGACTACTATGAAAATCTTGGTCGAGCTCTAGCTTTATGGGAGAAACTTTTTAACTTAAAAGATGTAATTGATGAGTGGACTGAAAAGGTCCTTCAAAAAATGGAATTACAACAACTCACTGAAGAGGAAAGAGAAATGCTGAAGGTAATTAAACAGATATAAAATATATGCTCTTTTTTTTACACAGTAGACATTTTAATAATGAGTTTGATTTTTTATGCAGGGTAGAAAAATCACAACGAAATCTTTTATTTCTTTCATTATCCCTTGAGTGGGACCTGAACTATGTTGTTTCCTTTATGATATCTGGGAAGATGTTAGCAAATATTATTAATCCGGGGTTCACAGACACCCAAGGGATTCATGGAGGAAATGACCTTATATGGGAGAACTTATATCTTTATTTTTGTGAATGTCTGACCTAAAATGCAATATTTGTTCCAGTTATAAATATAGTCAAAAACATAGTAGGATGAACTTGCATGTGACATTGTTATTAACAAAACCACATATATTCTGAAATCATTTTCTGGTTGTTGCAACTATAACCCTGATCAGTACTTTGAAAATATGGTATTTAGTAGATCCACTGCTAGATGTTATTTAGGGTATTAATAGAGAAATGTATATATTTTGGTAGTATAAACATGTTATTTTTAATATTTTGATAACTGTAACCCAGTGTAATTTTTCCTGTATAGTCCTACATTATTTATTTTATGTTTTATTTATAAAATATTATTATACAAGGGATCCATGGGATTCTCTAACCTGCCGGAGGGGTTTATGGTATATAAAAGCTTAAGAACTCCTAGCAGAAGCCCCATCCAAATGCATAATTGTTCCCAGGTGGTTAGTGTAGGCCTCTGGATTTGGTAAACTTTTTCTAAAGGACCAATAGTAATTATTTTAGACTTGTACATCATTTGATCAATCTTACAAATGCCCAACCCTGCTATTGTAGCAGGAAAGCAGTAAGTCATCGACAATACATAAGTGCTTGCAAGTAGCTGGGTCCCAATAAACTTTATTTATAAAGTGCATGTTGACATTTATATGTACAGATCTATGAAATGTAATGACTTTAGGTAGGCCCTGCATACTGGAATGGCCCAAGCCTGGTCCCTCTCTGTGGTCTTACACCTAGAATCCTTCACTCAGTTGTTATGTTTGCCTTCTCCGTGAAGGCACTTGGGTCTGTAACTCCTGGGACTCTGTCAAAAAACAAGTGATTAGGGGCAATTCAAAGGCTCTCTTGTTTTCGGTGTATTAACAATAGCAATCATGGGTACCAGAAAATAAGGTATACAATAAAAATGTTCATTATTAATATTATGTGTTTTAGGCAGAATTACAAGTCCATGAACAAAAACCTTCAGAATTTTCTAGAAGAGTGGCTAAAATACAGTTCCTGCTTCAAAGCAGTGAAATACCTCTTGAATTGCAGGTAAGGAATTTCTGTTTACGTCGCCATGAGAGTTCTCTGAAGTAGTCTTCATAAACCAGAATGCGAATCTTAAACCTAAAATAAAGTTAGGGTCCTTATTTAATTCACCTTTGTTCAATTCCTGTATTAGTCTAACCAAATTTTTAATAGCGTAGTTTATTCTCTTTGGTCTACTTTTAGAATGAATGCTGTCGTTTTCTGCATTTTTTTATTCTTATTTCACTTATTTCCCAGGCCTCTCGAGTGCAGGGAGAGATGCCACTGTGCGTCCCTGTGCAGACCAAGGGTTTTCTCATGAGCTGTCACGGGCGTGGGAAGGACAATATTGCTCCAGCGACTCTAGGTTTCTAGGCGGAGAAGCAGGGAGATCTCCTCAACTGTGAAATCTGTTGTGCAGAGAGATTTGTTACAATTTTACGTAGATCAAAGTGCTCAGTGGCTGAAAGGGAATATTCATAGGGCTCAATGTGAGTCAGACTTTCTGGGTGAGGTCCTGGTGCTACCACCTATTAGCTGTCTGACTGTGGGCAACTGACTTAAACTTCTTAAGCCTGTATTTTTGTACCTTAAGTGCTTACCATGATGCTGTGTACATAATAAACACTCGACAAGTGCTGCCTATATAATTTTTACTATATGTTTTTATATGTTTTCGAAAGAGGGCTAAGAAATAATACCTTAATTGGTATGCCAGATAAGGCTGGTTTTAGGGGCAGGGTTCAAATTAGTCTCTCATAAAAAGTCAGAAGTTCAGTTCCAGTTTTCATATTAGTCTTTTCTCTAAAGGCACCCTGCGAATTGTCATCAGTGATGTAGAACGATGAAGAATTTTAAATAGAGAGGAATTCACTTCACATTGAAACGAAGCGGTCTCAACTCATTTTCTAGCAGCGTGGTTTGTCTTAAAATCTAGTTCAGTAAAATCTGTAACCGTACTTCATTTGTTTCATGATTTCAGGTCATGGAGTCCTCTATTTTGAACAAGATCGAACATGTAAAAATGCTTTTAACAGGAGAATCCAACTGCTCTGCACTCAGTGGAAACACGGCTGAGCTAAGGGAGGACCTCGACCAAGCCAAGACCCAGATCGGGATGACTGAGTCCCTCTTAAAAGCCCTGTGTCCTTCCGACAGCTCGGAGATCTTTACGAAACTAGAGGTACTTCCCAGCTGCTGCTTTTCTGTGGCTCAGGTTTATTTTCACGCTTATTTCTGATGGTCTTGATCTCTCGAGGTTAATAAAAATAGTTAATAAAAAATGAAAGCCTGGGGGGGAAAATATCAGAAAAACAATTTGTGTGTATTTAGCAGTTTCACCTTTAACTTGCTCTGTGTACAGTAATTATTTGATGTTAAGTTGCATTGCATTTATACGTTTACTGGCTAAGAGAAAGCAAATCCACCCAATGGAAAATCATCTATATTTTTACAAAAACAATGGAGCTCTAATATGCCTTGTGTAAATTGAGCCCATTTTAAGACTTAATGGTGGTTTGTTTGTTTTTATATTTTTAGGAGATACAGCAGCAAATTCTACAGCAAAAGCACAGTATGATATTACTTGAGAATCAAATAGGCTGTCTGACTCCTGAACTCTCTGAATTGAAAAAGCAATATGAAAGTGTCAGTGATTTATTTAATACCAAAAAAAGTGTTTTGCAGGACCACTTTTCTAAGTTACTGAATGGTGAGTGCAGTGCTTCTCCTCCTGTGTTTCTGAGAGTCTTGAAGTACGAACAAGGACTGTGGACACATAGGTTAATTTACGCTTCACTTAGAGGTGGTTGCAGATTATGTTTAAAGAAAAGGATTGACTGATTGACTAAGGATTTATTCAGATAAATCTTTTTTTGGGGGGGAAGCACTCACGAATCTATGCATGTCATTAATAACATCTGTTTCTTTCAAGTGCCAAATGTTTATTTCACTAAAGAAAATCATCGCTGTGTGTGTGTCACTCGCTCGCTGTGGTGAGCCGAGCATGTGCCTGGGAGCAGGCTGCTCCTGCCGGTGTCTTTGGGTGTCCTGTATGCTTGCAAGGGGGTTTTGGCGTAGAGAATACACGGCGATTACTTTCTAGGCTCTGTCAGCCCTCAGAATTGGGTTTCAGCTTACTATCACTTTACACAATGATTGTGTCCATGGCATGGGAAGCAAGTTTGAAAATCTCTCGCTTTAACTAGATATATGAAGTCTTCCTTGAGTGAACACAGCTTTTTGTCGTTTCCACCCCCCCCCCGCCGCAGATCAGTGCAAGAACTTTAATGACTGGTTCAGCAACATTAAAATAAACCTTGAAGAGTGCTTTGAGTTATCAGAAACAAAAAAGAGTATGGAACAAAGGCTACAGAAACTTTCTGTAAGTTATATAAATTTCTATCAAAATTCATCAAAACTAAAATACTAGAGGCACAGAACTGTATTTCAGCAGATAGGATAATGATTGCTTTGACTTAGTCATTTGCCTACATAAAGATATTTCCAAATAACCTAACTTTCCCCAAATATTTTGAAACTGTGTTTACTGAGTCATGGTGCAAGTGATTGAAACAAGTTCTGTTTTCACACCTATTCTAAGATGCTGTTTATCTGTTTGCCGGTGAATTCAGTTATGCTGAAGTCATATTTGACAAAAAGTAAAACATTTATCTAACTTAGACTTTGATATTACTTTACTTTCCTGAAAGCGATCTCTTGATTTTTTAAGTCTTTCCAGGCATCTTTCTTTTAAAAATTGCAGTTGAACTTTAATACACTGCTGTCAGAGTGTAGTGGAGGGTGGCCTGAAATAAATGCAAAGTGCCTGTGTGTTTAAAATGTGTAGCACACCCTTCACTTGTCATCACTTCAGGCAGATTATCTAGTGCTTTAGTTTTGATACTGAGCCGCACTCTCAAGCTCATTGATGGCATTGAATGTTCTCAGATTAGTCGCTTTGATGATACCGTTCTTCATGGACAGAACCGCCTTTCTTCTATTTTGTTTCTTTTTTCTTTTTTAAAGTTACGACTTTTTCTTTTTTGCCTTTAACTTTGCCCATTGCGTGAGCCTCAGTAATTGATCCTCAAACTTTTTAACATAAGCATTGAAATAAAATTCTCATTTGGACAAAACTAAATAGAGGGGTCTGTTTAGTTTTACGTATTGATCACCAGGAAGGAACAAGTACTTAGGGGAAGTTGAGTACAGCCAGGCAAGAAAAATGCGGCTTTTCCCGGCTTGACTCCTACTGACCTTCATGGTTGGCATCTCCTCATTTTGTCTGACACCATTTCCAGAAAGTCAGACGTATACGTCCATTGAAGTCAGTCGTATCCCCATAGGCCTTCTTTTGTATAGTCTGCTTACTGGCTTGGAAAGTGTCGTGAGGATGGCAGAGACCATACTTGGACTCGCCAGTAGGACATAATTGACTTTCTGTGTCTTTCCAGGATTTCTTGACCCTGGAAGGGAAAGGCAGTCAAATACAGCAGGTGGGAACTGTACTGAACCATGTGAAGAAGCATCTGCCCAAAGCGTGTGTTAAGGAGCTTAGCAGTTGGATTCTAAGTCAAGAAGCTGAATTAGAAAAAATGGAGTCCGCGTGCCAGGTGCGAGCGAAGGAGCTTGGGGACTACCTGCAGCAGCTTCTGAGGTAGGGGATAAAGGTGACGTCTCAACAACATGTTTTCTGGTGGTGTCTTTATCTGTACTCTGCCTGAGTACAGCCAGCATTGGAATACATAATACACACACATTTTACAAGTAAAATCCATACTTTCACATCTAAGTTTGGCTCTACCAAGATAGAATTATAGAGAATTCTTCAAATTATTTAATATGGCAAAGGTTTGTGGGAGAGTCCAAAAATGTTTTCTGTTTGTTTCTGTTCTTTCTGATACATTTTTGTGGCTCACTGATTCATAGAATCCCCCTGAAATACAGGCTATTACACCTGTTGCTTATTTTATATTCTAACATATGTAATGTTCTTTTAGACTCCAGGATGACCACAGAAACCTGAGTAAGTGGCTGACTAATCAAGAAGAGAAATGGAAAGAAATGGAAGAATCAGGAGAGAAAACAGAGTCATTTTGCCAAGCTCTAGCTAGAAAGAGGTATAACTGATCTTGTATAAAATACATTTCCTGGGAATATGGTTTCTTACGTGGTGTCGTGGCTCCTATAAACTTCCCCCTGATATTTCGAATTTACAGAGAACAATTTGAATCTGTGGCCCAGCTGAACAACTCTTTGAAGGAATGCGGGCTCACTGAGGAAGAATTAGCACTGGACTCGACACGTTTGATTGATAGATACCAGGCATTATTGAGACAAATACGTGAAGCTGAAGAAGAGGCTAAGTTACCTCCTGCCGAGGACCAGAGCTTTAATGATCTCGCACAAGGTGTAATTCACTGGATAACAGAGATTAAAGAGTCCCTTATGGTTTTGAATTCGTCTGAAGGCCAAATGCCACTTGAGGAAACAATCCAAAAAATAAAGGTATAACTCTGGAAACTAAATTTCAAGGGTCAGAGTGAACTTTAATTTTGAAAAGATTTAGAGGAAAATGACTAGGACTTATTTCTCAATGGAAAATAGAATCACTGGGGAATGTTTAAAGATAGTCAGATGATTGACCTTACAAAAGAGAAGGGCTGTGATGGATCTGAAATTATTTTAATACAGAGGGAAGAGAGAAAGTAAACCCTCTCTTTTGTGAGGGCAGTGCCCAGTGCATCGTCACTAGTGCAGAGGAATTGAAATAGAGACAGTGAGTTGGAGCTGCGCAGGTGGGAGTTTGCTGGGTATAGAAAGACACAGCAGGGCCCTGGCCAGTTTCACTCAGTGGTTAGAGCATCGGCTCACGGACCAAAGGGTTCTGGGTTTGATTCCGGCCAAGGGCATGTAACCTCGGTTGCAGTCTCGATCCCTGGCCCCAGGTCGGGGCTCATATAGGAGGCAGTCAGTCGATGTGTCTCTCTAACANAGGTAGGGGATAAAGGTGACGTCTCAACAACATGTTTTCTGGTGGTGTCTTTATCTGTACTCTGCCTGAGTACAGCCAGCATTGGAATACATAATACACACACATTTTACAAGTAAAATCCATACTTTCACATCTAAGTTTGGCTCTACCAAGATAGAATTATAGAGAATTCTTCAAATTATTTAATATGGCAAAGGTTTGTGGGAGAGTCCAAAAATGTTTTCTGTTTGTTTCTGTTCTTTCTGATACATTTTTGTGGCTCACTGATTCATAGAATCCCCCTGAAATACAGGCTATTACACCTGTTGCTTATTTTATATTCTAACATATGTAATGTTCTTTTAGACTCCAGGATGACCACAGAAACCTGAGTAAGTGGCTGACTAATCAAGAAGAGAAATGGAAAGAAATGGAAGAATCAGGAGAGAAAACAGAGTCATTTTGCCAAGCTCTAGCTAGAAAGAGGTATAACTGATCTTGTATAAAATACATTTCCTGGGAATATGGTTTCTTACGTGGTGTCGTGGCTCCTATAAACTTCCCCCTGATATTTCGAATTTACAGAGAACAATTTGAATCTGTGGCCCAGCTGAACAACTCTTTGAAGGAATGCGGGCTCACTGAGGAAGAATTAGCACTGGACTCGACACGTTTGATTGATAGATACCAGGCATTATTGAGACAAATACGTGAAGCTGAAGAAGAGGCTAAGTTACCTCCTGCCGAGGACCAGAGCTTTAATGATCTCGCACAAGGTGTAATTCACTGGATAACAGAGATTAAAGAGTCCCTTATGGTTTTGAATTCGTCTGAAGGCCAAATGCCACTTGAGGAAACAATCCAAAAAATAAAGGTATAACTCTGGAAACTAAATTTCAAGGGTCAGAGTGAACTTTAATTTTGAAAAGATTTAGAGGAAAATGACTAGGACTTATTTCTCAATGGAAAATAGAATCACTGGGGAATGTTTAATGATAGTCAGATGATTGACCTTACAAAAGAGAAGGGCTGTGATGGATCTGAAATTATTTTAATACAGAGGGAAGAGAGAAAGTAAACCCTCTCTTTTGTGAGGGCAGTGCCCAGTGCATCGTCACTAGTGCAGAGGAATTGAAATAGAGACAGTGAGTTGGAGCTGCGCAGGTGGGAGTTTGCTGGGTATAGAAAGACACAGCAGGGCCCTGGCCAGTTTCACTCAGTGGTTAGAGCATCGGCTCACGGACCAAAGGGTTCTGGGTTTGATTCCGGCCAAGGGCATGTAACCTCGGTTGCAGTCTCGATCCCTGGCCCCAGGTCGGGGCTCATATAGGAGGCAGTCAGTCGATGTGTCTCTCTAACATCGATGTTTCTCTCTCTCTCTCCCCCTTCCAGTCTCTCTGAAAAGCAATGGAAAAAATATCCTCTGGTGAGAATTAAAAAAAAAAGACACAGCAGAGGCATCAGCAATGTCCAGGGCAGGGCCGGAGAGGAACTCCTTCTGACTGGATCTTATGGCTCATAAAGATTATTAGATACGGAGTGGGTTGTGGAGAGCAAGGAAATCTCAATCTCCCTTCAGCTCACTTTTTATCTAAGGGAGATTCAATAAATGTTGCTAGTTTGCAGTGCAGGAGACAGAAGCACATGTGCTTAAAAGAAAGTTGGGAGAATTGAAATCATGCTAATTGAAGCGTTGTAGAGGAAGAAATGGTTAAGAATAGTGAGCCCGGCCGGGCGTGGCTCAGCTGTTGAGCATCGACCTAGGATCCAGGCGATCGGGGTTTGATTCCCGGTCAGGGCACATGCCCGGGTTGCGGGCTGCAGCTGATCAATGGCTCTCTCATCATTGACGTTTCTATCTCTCTCTCTCTCCCTCTCCTTTCCTCTCTCTGAAATCAATAAAGATATATTTTTTTAAAAAAATTAAAAAAAATAGTGAGCTAGAAGGGTTGGTGAGACTTAAGTAATCGGAATCTTTTGGGATTATATCCAAAAGGTTTTCCATTGAATGTGAGTCTGGAGTAGTTTTGAGAAAGGAAGAATTTGATAGTTCCAAGCAAAGGAGTGAAAGAGAAGTAGAGGGAATGGGAATTAATTATGCCAGGTGGAGAGACAGGAGTTGACAGGAGGGACACTGCATTTCCTGTGGAAGCCGTAAGTCTCATCTTGGGTGTATAAAAATGTCTTGTTCAGGTTGTTACCCAAGCTCTCCATCTATAAATAATGGAGTAGATAGGAAGTAGGAAATAAGGAATGCAGTCAGATCAACCTGACAAATGTTTATTGAGAACCAGTCCTGTTTAACGGGAAGGGAGATTTCCTTGTCTTTGGGGCATATGTAAAAATGAAAGGGTAATTTTGAAATGTAATTTGCAGTTAGAATTTCAATATAATTTTTATAAATAAAAAGATATCATATGTACTATCCTTAAGTAATATGAATGGGATTCTAAAACCTTTTTTATTTAATTCAGGAAATCATTTTACTAAAGCCTGAAGGGGATGCTAAAATACAGAGGCTCAGGGGTCAGGCTGCGAGCAGCAAGGCTCCCTTGGATTCAGAGACCGTTGCTGATATCGAGAACCAGTGGGTCAGCACACTCCATTTAGCCAACACGTATCTAAGGTAAAGGGCAGGCCTGCACCCTCCGTGGTTTGTCATTGCACAATGAAGCCATAACAAGTATGTTTTGTCTGCTTCCTGGATTCGGATATAGTATTTATTGGAGAGAAAGTCAGTAGGTCAGGGACACCCAAAATGTCAGAGCCCGAAACGAAGAGGAATCCTTCTCCGGTTCAGATATAAAGCACACTGTCATAGCTCTGTGGCACTGTTTACTTTGGCTGCTACATCAACCCATGAGGTTCTTGGCAACAAATGAACATTATCTGTCATTACACTTTTAACACTCCACTTCTGCACGGAAACTCCCTTCCCCCAGAAAACTTCTGTATCTGCATGGTATTACTGTAGAATAATTAATGCTTTTTAATGTGTATTCTAAGAGATTCTTACATGTGCAAGCATTGATAAATGTCTGAAATCAATGGACATAATTCTGGTGAAAACTCTTTAATTCATATCACATCTTAAATGATAATGTTTGATGGAAATGTGAATTTTATATTTTTCAATAGACAGTCAGATCAAAGCTAAATTCAAGACATAAAAAGAGTAAACTAGTTAGTTGGCCAATATACTGAATGCTTATTTGTTTTACTTATATGAAAAAGAAAAACATAGGATAATATAATTATATTTAAGGGTAATAAAAACTAATAGTTTGAAATCTAAATTATTAAATATTTGTCCTCAGGTCAAATTATGTAACAACAAAACAGTAATTTTTCAGTAATACTGCAAATCATTTTTGTCTTAATTTCTGGGCTAAACTTAGGGCTGTTTACAATGCTATAATGCCAAAAATGTCTGTAGGAATAATGTATATTAGGGTTATTTTAATACTTTCTTACTATAATGTATGTTGCATTACAATATGCAAAATGCCATTCCATTGGCTAAGTGTCATTTCCTTTGTAAAATATCTTTTAAAATGTAGCCATCAAGAAAAGCTTCTACTAGAAGGAGAGAAGTATTTGCAAAGCAAGGAGGGTCTGAGAGTAATGCTCACAGAACTGAAAAAGAAACAAGAAGTGGGCTTTGCTCTGCAGCCTGGTTTGCAGGAGAAGAAAGCTCAGTTAAAAATTTATAAGAAATTCCTCCAGAAGGCACAAGATTTGACATCCTTGCTAAAGGAGCTAAAATCTCAAGGAAATTACCTCTTAGAATGCACTAAAAATCCCAACTTCAGTGAAGAGCCTTGGCTGGAAATAAAGCATCTACACGAAAGTCTTCTTCAACAACTACAGGTAAAGTGGTCAAAACAAAAATTTAAATGACGTAATTGTATAAGGTTTGTATACAAAACCTTATTTTTTTGTTGTTCTTTTGGCAAACCAAAAGCTTTTCTTAAGGAAGAGAGAGAGCCCAGCCTTAAGGAAGAGAGAGAGCCCAGTGGTTGAGCCTTGACCTATGAACCAGGAGGTCGAGGTTTGATTCCCACCTGAGCTCGATCCCCAGTAGGGGGCGAGCAGGAGTCAGCCAATCAGTGACTCTCACATCATTGAGGTTTCTATCTCTCCCTCTCTGTTCCTCTCCGTGAAATCAATAAAACATATAAAAAAAATTTTTTTAAAAAGAGAGAGAGAGAGAGAACATGGATTTGTTGTTCCACTTATTTATGCATTCATTGGTTGCTTCTTGTATGTGCCCTGCCTGGGGATGGAACCCGCAATCTTGGCATATCAGGATGGTGCTCTAACCAACTGAGCTACCCGGCCAGGGTTCCAAAGACTTTTAAAATTTAATTTATCACTTTTAGATAAAAATATTAACTCCTCAAGGATGAAGGAATCAAACCAGTCAGTTTTACTAGAAGAATCCCTCATGTGTCATTTGATGATGTTATTTCTCTTATTGAAGTTTCCCTCGTCAGGAATAGGAAGAGTTAAGTTTGGTTTTTTTAAAATATATTTTTCTTGATTTCAGAGAGGGGAACGGAGAGGGAGAAATAGAAATATCATTGATGAGAGACCCATTGATTGGCTGCCTCCTGCACGCCCCCTACTGGGGATTGAGCCCGCAGCCCGGGCATATGCCCTGACTGGGAATCGAACCATGACCTCTTGGATGCTAGGTTGATGCTCAAGCGCTGAGCCACTGCCAGCCAGGCAAGAGTTAAGTTTTTTTAGGCATCTCTGTGAACATGATTGTGACAGTTATTTGTGTATCATCCACCTATCCACTGATGCATCTATGCATCCATCTTTCCATCAATCCATCCATCATCTGTCATAATAACTTATATTCCTTATTCTGTATAAACCTTCTTACCAGTGTCCCTCCCTTGTGTCTTTCTAAATGATCTGCACTGAAAGAGCTAAGAGGTGAGATGCCAACTTGTCATGAGGGAGTGTATTCTCTTAAGACAGTTGTTTATAATTCTTTGCACATTGAAAGCCAATTTCAATGTAGGAATTATCTGGGTAAGAAATCCTGCTTACACAGATAGAAGGACTTGTCCAAGGGTGAAGATATACCCGCCTGGCTGTAAGTTGTTTAGTTTAATAGTTGCTATTTTTCTGATTAGGTGTGGTCACCTTATTTTTTTATTCCAGAAAGAGAACCTAACGATGATTTTGCTCTTGAGTTAGGATTACTTTCTCCCAAAACACAGTTTTGGAGTTTGAATTTAATGAAAGGAATTGGGGGTTAGGTTGATCTCATATAGTCTCATTTACAAGTGTGGGTACTTGGTTTTAGTAAGAAGGATAATTAAGGGAGCTGCTTTATTATGGATGTTTGTGATTTGATGATGTAATTTGTAGGCATTTCATTTTGTAAACATCCTCAGGAATAAAATGAAGGCAAAGAAGCATGGGGGAAAGTGGTTGCAATAAAGGTCATTTAGCAGGGAGAAGGAGGGTTTTACAGTGAAATATCTCAAACACTAAACTCTAAAAGAACTCTGGATGATTATGGCCATATTCCTGTTTCAAGATGATACCTCATAAAACAAGTATTTATGAACAATTTAATTATCTGAGTGAGAAAATTCAGAGAGAAATAATCCGTAGATTGTCAATGCTTTTATTTTTAGGATTCCGTGCAAAAATTGGAAGGTCATGTTCAAGAACACCACTCCTACCAGGTTTGCATTGCAGACCTGAATACCGAATTGGACACTATCTCCAAGGAATTTGTTAGTTTTTCTGACAAGCCTGTGGATCAAATAGGAGCTGAGGAAAAGCTGCAGGAACTGCAGGTATTAAAAAATGTCTAGACATAATAGACATTTAGAAACTCAATTTTAATGATAACTTTACTTATAATTTAAAATTTTAATTATAATTTAAAATTTAAATTATTTATACTTTTCAATTATAACTTTACTAATCAATATATTTGGTTTGAAATTCAAGTGCTGTTCAGATGACTGTTAGGTAAAGTTCTGACCAGTCATTTTAAAAAAAGGAATGTTCTTTAGTGACCAAATCCGTTTATAATTTCTATTATAAATGGACCCTGCACTAGGGCCCCTCGGGGATGATTCCATCCATGACCAGTCTGTAGCTTCTGGAGACCTTTGCCTCAGAGACAACACAGTGATTTCAGGACTGGCTAGTCCAAGGATGCATCTAGTACAAGACCTGGGGGGATGTTTCAATCTTGCATTCTTTATCATGGGTGGATAGGAGTTGTGTAATTTTTATTAATTTTTAGGCTCATGGACTACATTAGAGCTCTCTCCCAGATGTAGGGCTTCCAAAATTCTCATGCTAAGTCCAACAACACCTAGCCTGGCAGCCCTTTACCCACATTCTCAGAACACATTCCTTGGATTCTTGCTGTTTGCACAGCCAACATAAACAGGCCCAATGGTGTCTTCTAGAAGAAAACGAAGCAAATCATTTCTCAGCTCCTCTTTTCATAATTCCTTGACTGGAGTTTCATGGGGTGAGTCTCAGGGCAGCACTGCTGGCATGAGCTTGGGAATGTCTCATCTCTTCCTTTTAGGGACCTGGGAATCAAGCCAGACTTCTGCTCCAGAATGGTCTGCCATTCATAAGACAAGTGCCTCCCCTTTTAGCAGTGATCATTTGAAAATGTTGAGGCTTCATCATGTCAAAGGCACTTTTTGGGTGCCATGAATACTGAGAAAAGTAAGACATAAGCCTCACCCTGAGCAGCTCAGGCTCCTGTTGAAAAATTAAAAAATAGATTTTTGCTATACACTGAAGGAACCATAGAGGCCATCAAGTTCAGACCCCTCAATTTATACATATTGCTGACTTGTAGCAAGGTGAGGGACTTACAAGGTCACCCAGGTTAAATGACAGAGTAGGGGCTACACCTCGAGACTTCTGATCCTATTCTGGTTACTGCTTTTTCTAATTCTCCACTAAACATCTCTACTTGTTGTCTCACAATTATTTGTAGTTCAGCACACCCCAAAATTAACTCATCTCCTTCCCTTTCTCCATCCCTGGGGGGCTCTCTTCCAATGAACCTGCTTTATCTATTATATTCTTTGACTCCATGAATATTTCCACCATCTCCTGAGGCTTTCAGGTCAGAAACCTGGATATCCTTTCCTGGACTTCCCCAGCTAGTCAGTCATCACGTTGCCCCTTCCATCTCCGGAATATCTCTACAATTTGTCCCTCCCCTGTTGCCCCCGTTATTGATGCCTTGGAACAGGCTCTCATCGCGCAGATCTCTGCATTAGACTTCTGCTGGGCTCCCTGCCTGCATCCACCCTCTCCAGTGCACCTTCCTGTATCTGTATAAAATGCAGACCTGGAACTCCTTCTTGCAGTTTAAAATGTTTCAATGACCTGTGCACATTTGTTAGCGTAGATCTTTTCACAGTAACTTACAGTTGTCTGTTTACTTCTGTGTCTCTTTGACTGGATTGTAGGAACTTGAAGGGACTGGGTTTTACTCATCTCCATAATTTCAGAACCTACTCTAATACTTGCTATTAGCTGAATGAATGCATGTTTTTTGTGTGGTCCATTACGATAATAAGTCCTCCAGCGTTCCCCTGGTAAGTTGAAGGCTTATTCTATTTCAGCGGTGACATCAGTACCTGCTGTAGGATCTCAAATTACTTTTGAGTCTAGAGTTCTCAGGTTAGGCCCTTTCATTCATGCATACATCTAGGAAATGGTGATTGAGCTCCCACTACATCTAAGATGCTGTACTAGAATGATGGATTTCAGCTTTACTCTCAGTTTTAAATATTAACACTAAATTCACATGGGCACACTCTAAATGATTTTATTTTTCCAATGTTTTGCAAATAATAGGCACTTATTATTTAGTGTTTTGATTATGTCAAAAGGCTGTATCCTGAACTCCATATATACTCAACAAATATGTATTGACTGCCCCCAATATTCCAGGAACTGTGTTGTGAAAATTTGTTACATCTTAGAAAATTTTAGTTACATATAAGATGTATTTAAGAATTTCATCTGGGATGCTACCTTGATTTAAATTTTACCCAAAGTTTCTTCTTTGTGATAAAAGTTAAATTTTTTATACTTCCCACTAGTGAAGCAGAATATGCTGTGATTGACAAAAGTCAGTTAACTCTTGTGACAATCGAACAGCGATTCTTCTTGTGACAATCTTTTCCCCACTCACAGGAACTGGAGAACAGACTCCGTCTACAAGATGGCACGTTAGAGAAGATTTCAGGTTTAGCAAAATCCATCAAGCAAAATACATCTTCAGTGGGACAGAAGATTATTAAAGAGGACATAAAATCACTTAAGTGTAAACACAGAGATTTGGAAAACAGGCTTGAATCCGCTAAGCAGGAGATGGGAAGTTATCTCAACAGCGTTCTCAAAGCAGAGCGCTTCTCGGCAAAGAGAGAGAAGTTTCCTCTGCCAGGCGGAGAGGCGCAGGTCGCTTCTGACGCGCGGGAGGCCGCTCGGGACTCGGCTGCGGTGGGAAAGTTGGAGGAAGGCTCGGAAATAAACAAGGTAAGTGGTCGTGATTGCATCTCTAAGCATCGCGTCTGAGAATGAAGAGGTGCTGGGATTTGAAAAGAGGGTCGTGAATCAAGCCTTCTGATTTCATAATTAAACCCTGTGTGCTGGCTATTTATGTTGCCCACTTGTAATGAGAGCCCTTAGAAAAGTGTCCAAGATTTCAGTGGTGAAATATTACTGTTCAGTCTGTTCAAATGTCATTCATCAATTTAGGTTTATTATTCTCTCTGATGTGTAATCAGATATAGTTTCTTGGGTCAAGAGCACAAAGGCAAATTAGAAAAGGCAAATGAAAAGAAAATGTGCTTTACCCATTTTCTTAGAAAAAAATCCAAGAGCCCTATTTTTTTTTTTTTTTTTT